ATGTCTCCATTTTAGGAGACATCACAGGAGTGGTGACCAGGCTCAGACAGGGCCATTCATGGGTCCAAGGTCAAGGCTTTTTACATTGGGGCTTTGAGGAGGTCTGGCTGACTTCAAACTTGCTCCTCCTCCCTTTGCTTTCTGTTGCCATCTTCATGCTGGACAAAGCAAGCCTTCATCTAACTTGAATGCCCTCAGAGCCCCTTTTCCATGCCCAGACATGAGGTGTCCTGCAGCCTTTGTTACAGACTCAGGAACGTTAAGCATTGGAAGGACCCATGGCATCACTGAGTCCAAATCCTTCATTTTACCGATGAGGAAACTGAGGCCCAAAGAGGTAAAGTAAGTCATACACATTCACATAGCTTTCCACACCGCACCTGGCTGAAGCGAGGTCATCCACAAAGAGCTGCTGAATAAATGATGGAGTTAGTGGCAGAGCTAGACAGGAGCCCAAGCCCGCATCTCCCAGCCTCATCTCGGCCTGTGTTGGCCTCTTCAGTGGGGATGGTTTTGTCCACGGGTCAACGTGATGGCTGGACCTAGGGCTCTTCTTGTGCCTGCTGCCCCCAAGCGTCCACCCACCGGCCTCCATCTGATCTTGAGTCCCGAGTATTCATGCTTTTAAAGTAACTAATGTTTGTTTTGAAGTACTTCCAAGCCTACTGAAAAGTTGTAAGAACAGTACAAAGACGTCCTGCCTCCTCCGTCTCCTCTGCAAGCACCCTATCGCCCTCACCAGCAGCTCTGGGCAGGGAGGGGAAGGGAAGAGAAGAGAGGAAGAAGTAGGACACTGTTAGTGTTTAAATCAAAGGGTTTTCCCTTTCTCTGTTTCATAGTTTCTCCCAGAGTACAGCAATAAAGAACTCTTCTTTCCTGCAAATGCCCAGGATTTAGGTATGCAGTAGGTAATGGTGGAGTGAATTGGTCTCATACAACAACATGAGCTTTATTAATTATGGCCTTTTAGGGCATCCAAGAGAGAACAGAAGGTACATGAGGCATAGGGTCTCCATGGCTGGGTTTGGATAAGGTGAAGAAGGCCCAGAGACTAACTTGGGGGGTAGCTGGTGGCCCAGAAGGAGCTCCTCTGAGGAGGTACTGGAATCCTGGGCTAGTGAGGCTCAAGGGTCACCTGGAAAGTACCTGGGTCTCCATCCCCTCCCCCACTTTTCTCAGTAAGGCAAAGTGACTTCCTTAAAGGTACAATTAGGATGAAGACCCAGTCTTCTGACTCCCAAGCCTTTTCTTGTGCCTCCCATCTCACCCCCAGTTCAAGTGATCTGTGAATTAATTATTATTGGTCCATGTTAATATAGCAAAAAGGAGACAAAAAGCCCACCAACACTGTATACCCTTTCACCCAGGCATGGCAGGAAAAATGTGACTAAGAAGACTCAACACTACCTTGGGCCTGAGTGGATGCATTCCTGAGGGAGGTGAGCCCCTGATGCCTGGTGAGGAGGGTCCCAAGGAGACCGGGGAGGCCGTGCCTATTGGGGTCCCTTGAGGAGGGGGAATCCTGGTTGAGGTTGGTAGGCTCACACCAGATAGAAAAGCCATAAGTCCTGGAGGTGGATTTGCTCTGCCCACAGGTGGAGTGGGGTCCTTGGCCTGGTGGGTTCTATGTGGGGCGCCAGTAATGCTGGAGGAACCATGCCTGTAGATTCCATTTCTGTTGGGATGTCCCCTAACTCCTTGGGTGTGGCCTCCTAATCCAGCAAGAGCCCAAAACTTGGTACTCTTCTGCCAGCTGCTCTGCCAAGCCTAGACCCTTCTTCAGTTCCAGCATGGAGTACCCAAGCAATGCCAGTAACTTTGGGGTGGCCCTGGACAGCCATGGAAACCAAATTTCCGCCATGTAGCAACAGCAGACCCAATACCCGCTTTCTACACTCTGGCAGTTTTGCCTTCCTTGGTTTGATCTTCCTTAACTTGTCACAATCACAGAGGATTAGCTCATCTGTTTGTAGAAGCATCACAGGTGCCAGTGAGGGTGAGGTTGTCCTATAGGATGCATCTTGTCCTGGTGGTCCATGTGTCGAGCATCTTGTTGCTCTTGCGCACGGCCATGGTCCCTCCTCCTTCTTGGATCCTGGGAAAGCATGTATTCTAAACTGTTTTCAGAAGAGAGGAGTGGATATGTGGTTGAGCTCATGTAGGAGGCGAGTGAGTGGGGTTGTGTCACAGGGGAGACAAAGGCACCTTCTCCCCTCGGCAGGTGCTCTGTGGCATGCATACCCCACCCCATTTCATGCCCTCATCACCTCTCTTCCTGCTCAGACAAGTGTGATGTGGTCCAACCTGACCCTCTGAGCCCTGTCTGCTCTGCTTCAGGAGGTTGAGGCCACCTCAGACCCACAGTTGGGGAGCAGGGTGAATTTGGGAGCCTGGTCAGGCCCTCAGCCACCCTGCTTCACAGACAAAGAGAAAGAGTAGAGTTTTTAGAGCCATGAAGCCTGGGTTCCCCTCACAGTTTTAATCAGTTTTCTCACCTGAAAAAAACGTGGGGAGGGTGGAGAGGGATATTAGTTTTCATATCCCTCATGGGATCATGTGGGGATTGCATACAATAATATGAAAATGCCTGTAACAGTGACCCACCATGAATTAGTAGTTACTGAAATTCATATGATTTTGTTATAGGTCTGGACAACTTTCAGGGGTAACTTGGGTCATAGACTGGAGGTTTGGGACCCTCCAGGTTCTCTTCGTTGACACCAGATCCAAGAAGGATAAAAAGTCCCAGGACTATGAGCAACTCTGAGTAGGCATATGATTCCCCACTGCCTGGCACATAGTAGGGATGTGGAGAGTGTTTATGGAGCTGAAATGTACTCAAGGTTTCAGGGTTGTTACTGGTGCCCCTGCTCAGGGTTTCCTTTGGCTAGAAGCAGATCTCATTTGGGGTGTTTGGTTTTTTCAGTACCCATCTGCCCATCTAGATCTATTCTTCGTCCTTTGACCTAGGAGTTTGATCTCTATGGATTGCCTCACAGTCTCCTTCGCCCTGTAGCTCCTTGTTGGGTTTGCCAATGGGAGGCACCAACAGGGGATCAGGGGGTGAAAGGACAGGGAAGCTGGGGCATTTGTTTCCCCATCCCCTGTCAGGCCACAACTTTGTCAATGTCTACATTCCTCTGCCCAAGGCCATTGGGTGGCCTGTGTCTTCAGTTTTCACTGGTCAGCAATGCTATTTCCTGTCCTCACACCTTCAGGCACAGGGGGAATAAGAGCTTCCCCCTGTTGCTATCTCCTAGGCACATCACCATCTCTTGTTGGACACAGAGTGTCATAACTCTACCCATGTTCCTTCTCTCAACTCTCTTCAATTAACCCTTTGGCTTTCCTCGGGGACCATGACTGACACAAGTGGGTACCATCAGACGCTGACCCTCACTCTCACAGTGACTCCTAGGTTCAATGGCTCTAGGCCCTAAGCTTCTGGGAGGTCCAGCCCACCATAATAGATAAGTGGCTGGGATACCACTCGTTATACACCACAGTCTCAGCCGAAGGAGGAGTGAGTAGAAACTAACGACTCTGATGGATGGGCTCAAAGGGTAGGTCATTTTGGGTTCCAAATAGTGTCAGACCATCAAAGGGTCCTCAAATGCTTTTAAATCCTAACGTTGACTCCGTTGACCCTATATCAGGTTAACCTCAGACTGAGAATCATGTAGCCATTTCTCCAAGGAATTTTCATCCATTTACTCATTTAGGCACTCAACAAACATTTCCTGAGCACCTACTATGTGTTGTGCACTGTGCTTCATACTAGGGACCCCAAAATATATGGCCTAGTTCTCACCCCCAACCGTCTCCTAGTATAGTGGAAGAAATAAGCTGTGAACACGGAGGGCAGTTATATAATCGGCATGAGAATGAGAGGAAGAGATAAAATGCTACAAGAGTTCAAGGGAGAAAGAGGAAATCAGAATGAGATTTCAGGTGGAGGTAACCACATAAATAAATAAATTGGGTAGCCAAAACCTGATTGTTTACCAATATGTTAAAAGGGAGACCAAATTTTTATTGATGTCCTACTATGTGCTGGGTGCTTTGTAACCATTATCTCAGACTTCCTGATAAACACTATTATCCCCACTGTGCCCGGTAAGCTCGAGATTCCAGGTCTGTCTCTTTGCAGTCTCTTCTACATCCATACATTACAGACAAACTTCTTCCATCCATTTCCCAAAGGAGAAAAGGCTGAATAGAACATTCTGTCACCAACCCGATGAAAGGTCATAGAGTAGGGTGCTAGTCAGTTGTAACTAAACCTAAACGGGGGAAACAGGGATTTCCTGCCATGATTATACCCTGTGGTTACCCCAGGTTATTTTTTACGGCCTTTGTTAGAATCAGCGTGTGATGGTTAATTTTATGTGTCAACTTGACTGGGTTAAGAGGTGCCCAGACAGCTGGTAATACAGGTAATGCATTATTTCTGGTGTGTCTGTGAGGGTGTTTCTGGGAGAGATTAGCATTTGAATCAGTAAACTGAATAAATACATTGGAGTCCTCACCAATGCGGGTGGGCATCATCTCATTCATTGAGGGCCTGAATAGAACAAAACGGTAGAGGAAGGAAACATTCTCTGTCTTTTTGAGCCGAGACTTTCATCTTCTTTGGTCCCTGGACATCAGTGGTCCTGGTTATCTGGCCTTCAGACTCCACTAGGACTTATAGCATCGGCTCCCTGGTCCTCCAGCTTTTGGACTCTGACTGAATTATACCACCGGCTCTCCTGGGCCTCCAGTCTGCAGAGGGCAGATCTGAACCTCTCAGCCTCCATAACCACATGGGTCAGCCCCTCATCATAAATCTCTTTCTATGTATCTATCTTTCTATATATCTTATTGGTTTTCATGCTCTGGACAACCCTGACTAACACAGTGCTGGGACCGTGAAAACAAGACCCTTGCAGCCTGCACCCCTCTGCCTCCTCCTGGGGCTAGGTCTGTCCCCATCTTTGCTCTCTTTCCTTTCCCAACAGGACCTGACCTCTGGTGGCCCCTTGCAGGCCCCCTCCCCCACCATCTTCCACTGTGTGAAGGATGATGACAAAATGACAAAAACATTCTCAAGGAAACGAGCCGCTCTGCTCGCTCACGGAGGCCACTGTAAGTGTCAGAGAAAGCAGAGTTTGGAGTTAGTCATTCTGCTTCCATGGAATGAGTCCAACTCTGCGCTGGGCTGGTTCCCCACCTTCCTGTTTTTGAATCCAGACACATGCGGTCATCATATTGTCCCCATGGTGGTACAGAATCTTTAAGGGCCGGTCCTCCTTGGTTCTTATTTCATCAAGAGTGGACCATTTCTTTTCTGCCTTCAACCAGCCTTCATCAACAGATCGAGGCCAGAGCTGGGGGAGGGGAAGGCAGCATTTGCAGTCCGAAGGCCCACTGAGCCTGGCCTGTCACTCATGACCGGGAGGCCAAGGGACAAACAAACCCTGGAGCTGCGCCAGGCCTCGGGCTTCTTTGTTCGGTGGGGTTTCCCAGCGTCTCCTCTCCTTGTAGCTTAGCCAGCCTTATGCATGCTTCCAATCTTGAGTCCCTCCCTCCCGCATGAATAGAACCATTGTCCTCTCCTGTAACCGCATAGATTCATTATGCCTGTTTTAAACCATATAAAAGATTATATACTGTATGATTTCTTATGTATAGTTAAGGGTTCTTTAGGCTTTGTGAAATCTTGCTGAGCTGTGGTTATAAACTCATTATGTATTTTGAACAAGTGCCCTCTCTTGCGTGTGTGTGTGTGTGTGTGTGTGTGTGCGCGTGTGCATGCACTCATGTGTAGTTACTGTTGCTATGACAATATCCCTACCTGGATGTTACTCTCCACAGGCCCTCCATCCATCCTGCTGGTTCATCTTGGGTGATCACCACTTTTATGACATCATACTCCTGCTCAGAAGTCCACCATGGCTCCCGACTTTGGTGGCTGTTTTATATAACCCTTTCTTCCCCAAACCAGGCAATGCCATCACTCCTGAGAGTCAGGCATTCGTTCCATCAAGCAAGGTTCCACTCCCAAAGTTGCTGCGGGCCCACCTTGCTCTATTAATGCACACCTTCCCATCCCCCAAGGGCCCACTGGGAAGCCTTGGTCAAATTCTCTGGCTGCAATGTCTCTCCTTTTACGAACCTGTGTTGGACTTAGACTTAACATTATGCAGGTTGGCATGCAATTGGCATCCAGTTGTGTCTGGGTATTGCTTTTCCTCAGTGGCTTTCAACACTGGCTGAGAATCAGCTGAGAACTTTTAAAAGAAGCTGAAAACATTTAAAAAATACTAAAATATTGTTTGGGCCTCAGGCCAAACCAAAGGCTATGAATTTCTGAAGGTGGAGTTTGGGTGTCAGTACTTTCAAAAGCTTTCCAGGAGTTACAGGCTGAGTTGTGTCCTTGTGCCGCCTGCCCCCACCCTATCCGGTCACATTCATACATTGAAGTCCTAATCTCCAAGCCCCAGTGCTTCAGAATGTGACTGTATTCAGACGTAGGACCTTTAAAGAGGTAATTAATTAAGATGGGCCCTAATCTAAAATGACTGTCTAAATAAGAAGAGATTAGGACACAGACACACACAGAGGGGAAAACCATGTGAAGACACAGGGAAATTAGTCATCTGGAAGCCAAGGAGAATGGCCTCAGGAAAAACAACCTGCTGATGCCTTGATCTTAGACTTCTAGCCTCCAGAACTATGAGAAAATATGTCTGTTATAAGCCACCAATCTGTGGTATTTGTTATGGCAGCCCAAGCAGATTACTCTACTAGGTGATTCTACTGCATATCCAAGGAACAGTCCTTCTTCCAGCCACCCTGATCTCCCCGACTCTATCCTCCTAGCTGGACCATAATCCCCCTGAGGCCAGGGGTAGAGCTGTACCTTTGAGTCCCTCTGCATATAGCCAGGTATTGACCCATCAGTAACTAAAGGCTTATTATGTCACAGAACATGGCCTCCATGCAATTCTTTCTATGATCCTTTACTCCTGGCGGCCTCATCACACTCTGAGATGCTTTGGGCTTTTTTTTTTCTTTTACAGTGTTTTTATGCTTATCATCTTGGCCAGCGTTGCATCATAAACAACTTCTATCATTGTTTGTTAGAGGCCATTTTCTGTTCCAGGGATTCCAACCTTAGTTGGCATGCTTAATATTGTCTCTTATTTGGGCAAACACCTGACTCTTCTGACCGTCTTTGTGTGGCATGCTTGGTGTGGCCCACATGCCACTTCCACCAACGACTTGTCAGTCCTGGAAAGGTTTTAAATCTTATTTGGTGATGCCCCTGACCTCGCCTCACTCACTTCTCTCTGGGTCGTCGTTCTGATTACTTCTTCCCATTGTACATGCTGGAGAGAACCTTGCCAACACCCATCTCTGCACACCTTGTATTTCTCAAGACCATCATGCCCAGGAGAGCTCCTTTTTTCAGAAACAGGATGATGTTGAGAACCACTGGATTTGCGGTTTGGAAATTAACTTAGAGGCCATTGTACTAATGGAAAACTGAAGCCCAGAGGTGGAAAGTGATTTGCCCACAGTCCTAGAGCTAGGCAGCGGCCAGGCCCATTTTGGAGGCTGCCAGTCTGACAGTGCAGAGGTCTTTCCTCTGACCTACACTGCTACCCTATAGATGGGGATTTCTTCTCCTGGGAAACACACCAAAAGCAAAACGCTCCATTCTCCAGAATTTGTCTTGAAGTTTTCTCTTGGTTTGTTCTTTATAGTCCTCAAATTTTATACCACTTTTTCCATTTGAATGCTAGTGATGGCCCAGAGTGGTCATCGCCGCCATCCCTCATCTCCCACCTCCTGCTGTGGTCATTTCCAGCTCCCGTGTAGATAGCGATGGTCGTGTAAGTAAGTTCCACAGTGGGATATGGATAGAAGTTGTCAGATGAAAGTGTCAGGTCAACGTTCCATGGGGCTAACTCGGTAAGTGCCTCTGCCTTTCCCCTTTCCTCCTGCTTGGTATGTGGATGAGTGGCGAAGAGAATGGCGTGGAGCTGGAAGAAAGCAAGACAGGGCTCTGGTTCCCAGCTCTCCACTCTTCGACTCTCAGCTTGGGGTCAAGTGAAGGAGTACTGGTGATGGGGGAGAAATATTTAGAGTAGGTGAGAGACACTCCAGCAGCAAAGGGCTTCTGTCCAGCCAAGGCCCATGACTGAGCTCTAAAGGAGATATCCTTTTGGACTCCCCTTGCCCCACTCCCACTCAGGATAGGACCTCATCAGGTATGTTGGGAGAAATCAATTGGAGGAGGCTCTGTTGTTCAGCTTTCCTGAGCCACTTGGATGCGATGGAGTGTGGACAGGACCATGCAGGAGCTCAGGGGCTGGCTATGATGCTATGATAGGTGGTCTTGGTGAGCACAGAGACTGAGGAAGCAGACCATTAGTACCAGGTGGAATGAATCCCAGTCGAATTGTAGGGCCCCAAAGCAGCCATCTTGTGATGATGAGGCAACTTGAAGAGGAAAATCAGCAGTAAGGCTAACAGGGCAGAAATACGGAAGGTGCCAGGAACATTGATGGCATTGTGGAGCTTCTGTACCAACTCGAAAGTGTGTATCTGTAGGTTTCTTTGATGTGAGAAATACATACACTTCTGCCTGGTTTAAGTCATTTTGGGAGGAGGCTCTCTGTTACTTGCAGCCAAAGGCAATTTCTGATACAGGAGTCATTTTGGGGTCACTCCAGTTGTTTCAAAGTTGAGCTGAGATCAGCCTTATTGTCCTAGGAAAGGTCTGGCCATTCTTTTTTTTTTTACAGATTTTATTGGGGAATTGGGGAAGGGGAACAGCCAAGTTGTTGTCCTTGAATCTTAGTTGTGGAGGGCACAGCTAGCTCAGCTCCAAGTCCAGTCACCATCTGGCCACCCGTTGGCAGCTCAGGGCAGCTCAGCTCAAGGTACCATGTTCAATCTTAGTTGTGGGTGGCCATCCCATGTGGGAGTCTAACCAGAAACTTTGTTGTTAGGAGCACATGCTCTCACCATCTGAGCCATCCTGCCACCTGTTGGCAGCTCAGTGGCAGCTCAGCTCAGGTGCAGCTCACTGGCCCATGTGGAAATCGAACCGGTGCCCCTGTTGTTCAGAGCTCGCACTCTTAACCAACTGAACCACTGGGCTGCCCCCTGGCCTTTCTTAACTACCAGTTCTGCTCTCTAGGGTCACCCCAAAGAATGTAGTCCCTACTTCTCTCCAGCATCTCCCCAGTTCCTTCCCATTTGACTTTTTCATCTTGATGTCTTTATTCCATCTCTTTTACCTGCAATTGTATGTTTGTTGAACAACAGGCTCTCTTAATTGCTTTCTCAGCTGCTCAGGGCCGTGGACAGCCTGAGGGTATGTTTTTTGTCTGTGCATTTCACAGACTCACCAGCTACCTCCAGCGCATGGCAATTGTTGGATTTCCACTTTCCTTGTATGTTCCCTCCATGCACTAGCTCATGGTCAGGCAAGAGATCGCTCTGCCCTTGGACTATCCTGGCCCCCATTTTATTATTTTATTATTTGCTGACTGTACTCTTCACCCAGTTCTTACCACTGCAAGTATCATTTATTCAGCAGCAGGGACAGAAACAGAAGCACTTACTGCCTACAAGGAGCTCAGACATCCCACTCTGCGTATTCCACTTTGCTTTATAAGCCCTGTAAACCCAGACCATCTTATTAGCTTACTTTCTTTGTTGGTAAGCCATCTAGAGAATATTAGTGTGTTTTTTGGGGGTGGGGGCGGGGGTGGGGAGGAGCAAGAAGATACTCTAATGCTGTTTTTTTGTTTTGTTTTGTTTTTCACGGTTTCCAAGGATTTTACTTTCTGTGTCAATTTTAGGGTTCTTTCAGTCCTAAGTCTCTTTTCCTGAGTCATCATGGATGTGTCCTTCCTTTATCAGCAGAAAGAAAGGGAACCATCTTTTGGAAAATTTTCCCAGTAGCTACAGGTTGAACAAGAGAGTCTGTATTCACAAACATGATCTCTTTTATTCTTTCTAAGTCACACCATCAGCATATACTGGTCAGTCTGGAGCTCCATGGTTTTTTTCTCTATTTTGTTCTGTCTCCTCTCAGTTTCCTCATCTCCCATGACTATATCAAAGGCTCTTTTTGTTGTTGTTGTTGAGAACATTTAAATTTTACTCTCTTATCAAATTTCTATTATACAGTACAGGGTTATTGACTACAGTCACCATATTTTACATTAGATCTTCTGACCCAGATCAAATGTTCTTAACCTGGGCTTCATGTATCTCTGAGAGGCTTCTATAGGTGGACTTCAGAGGCCTATACAATTTTGTGCAATATTTTGTGCATATGGGAATGTGCTCACTTTTCTGGATGAGGTCGTAGTTCTTGATTTTCACACCAAAATTTTGAAAGGGAATGGTACTACCTGGAAAATTAAAAAAGCTAATGCCTTTGATATTTTCTTTTTAGATTTTTTTTTTATTGGGGAATTGGGGGGATGGGAACAGTGCTGGGGAATTGGGGAAAGGGGAACAGACAAGTTGCTGTCGTTTT